ACGTAAAGCACTTGAAATTTCTCTGATTTCAGATCTAATGTCATTAACTGAGGTTTCAACTAAAACAATGCGATTAAGGTCGTTCGTTTGGAAGTTAGATAAGTTGTTAGAAACTATGTTAGGTATAGATTCGTTTTGATCATTGTTAATAACAGGAGGGTTATTTGGCACACATTCCATTTCCTCATCACTGTTGTGAAGTGGAAATTCCTATGTGGGATCATCGATTTGATCAGGTCATATACAATGTAGTGCATAAACTCAAGACAGTTGAGGCAAAAGTCAATGTCTTTTTGGTTTTGATCTTGCTTAATGGCTGCATTTTTTAGGGAGACTATTTCATCATCTATCGAGACGAGTTTGTTTTCAATAATATTCAGTTTTTCTTGAAAAACTTTAAGGGTGTTAACCATATTTGGAGGAACATTGCTTGTCTTTCCTTGAAAGGGAATGGGTTTATTTGGGTCAGTAAGTGTCTGAGAGTATGATTTAGACAGGCTGCTGTTATTATTGTTGAATGACCTTGGAGGACGATATTGCTCTAGTTTGAAACGATCATATAAAAGATGATAGGGATTAATAGGTTTACGGTTGGTGCAATCTTTAAATTCATGATTGGGAGCATCACAGCTTCAATAGTGTTTTTTAGAAGTAGCCATCCAATATATTAGTTTTCCTTTGAATTTTTGCAATTGTGAAGAAGCTGCTGCGACATCTTCAGAATTAGTGAAGTTGATAAAGGCATATAGCCTGAGTCTATATTGTTGGTCACGTGGAATGAAACAGGATTTGGCATTGATGTGGAGTAAAAAGTCAATAAGTTGTCATTGATCAGTATTGAAGGGTAACCCTGTAAGTTTAAGTTCGAACTGCTGTCTTAGCGCCATTTGTGTGAGGTCGAGATCAGTTGGTTCTACTCTAAGCAGAAATTCTAAAAAAGTAATGGACCAAACTCAATCGTAAAAAGCTTTGATTGAATCAGGTTCGTCAAAAATAATGAAGGCGATCTGCTAGGGTTTACGGATGATCATAGAAAATCTGGAGATCTTTCCATATTTAGTGAAGTAATTTCTAAAAACATCTGATTTGATAAATAGGGGAATATCAGATACTTTATGGTTCGGCCTTTTTCGGCGTCTTGTCTTTATTGTTTGATCGTAGGATCGACAATTGTAAAAATAGGATTATGCTGTATTTTTTGTGTTTTTGTGAGTGCATTTTTTAGGGAGTCTATCGTGTCAAAGTAAATAAAGAATTTTCTAATTTTGGAAATGTAAGTTGAGCCTTGATATCCGTTATAATGAATGAAAAGGGAGTTGACGAACATGCATTTTTCAGCAATCAAATTTCCTTTTATGTCTGAGACGTTATCCGTCACGTAGAAACACGTGGGTACAGTAATAATATTAAAAGAAATTTCTTGAGAATCTTGATCACGTGTTTTTTCTTCGTTTTCCATTTCTTCTGACCAAGTATCTTCTTTTTGTTTACCTTTGTTTGTAATGACCTGGTTTGTGATTGGGTGAAGAATGTCGTTATTGTTGTTGTGAGAACTGGAGCTGGAAGCGTGCATAGAGTCATGAGTCGTATCTTTAGCAGGAGAAGAATAAGTTTCTTTATCATTTAAGTCTGTAGAAGTTGAGTCAATATCCATGACTTCTGGAGTAGTATGTTCAACTGATGAGTCATTAGAAGGTGGAATAAAGTCGTTTCCAGTAATAATATTGTTAATAGTTTGTTCTAAAGGCGTTTCTATATTTTGGGAAAAATTATCAGAAGAGAGTTTAATTTTTTTGGTTTGTTCAGTTTGTTCAGTAAGTAAAGTTTGTTGGCTGGAGCTAGTAGAAGTGTTGGCGTTCGTGTTGTTATTGTTTTTTTTATTATTCGAAAGAGTTTAAGAGTTATTATTAGCGTTTCTATTTTTTGTTTGTCTAGTTATTGGCATTTCTGTTAATTTTCGGGAAAGAAAAATTAAAGATAAAATTAAAGAGTTTTTAAAAAAAAAATAGACAAAAAAAATTTTTTTTAAATATTTTATTTCGTTAAATTTGATTGGTTGACATGAATTTTATCAGGTCAGGTCATAAGCTTGAACCAACTTGATGTTGATCTGAAAATTTATCTACTCAACCTGGATTTTTCAGGTCAGGTCAGGTCAGGTCACAGGTTGACCTGACCTGATTCAGAGCTCTAGCCAGGAGAATATTGCAAGAAATAAAATGATCATAGCAAAATGATCAGAGATTACATTATGGTATTTATTCTCTAAAAAGTTCAAAAATAAAGTTGTGAAGCTTAGGTCTAATGATAAGAATCTTATAGATCAGACTGCAAGAAAGCAGATCTATAATAAAATGAAACCATATCTCGCAGATATTTCAATTAGATATTTACAAGTAATGACTTGTAAAGCGAGAAAATTAATATATTATATAGGTATAAATATGATCCTATAACTCTGAAAAAGATTAAAGGTATACTATGATATATGGTTCAACAGGTCATCTGTAACGCTGACAAAATTTCAAAGCTTACTAATCCTTAAATTGAATATATCATAGAATAGGTCAAATTGAAAACAACTACTAATCCTGTGAACGAAATCTCTGAGACAGTAGCTACTACTTCAGTTCATGACTCAGATGATAATTTTAGTAACACGTCTGATATTACAGATTATTTTAAGGAAAAAGAAGAAGAAGCGAATAGTTCGATTGGGAAGGGTTCTAAAAGTCTGAAATAATCGCTAAGGCAGACAATGATGGTGATATGTATTTTTATTTCAAAGATGAGGAAGTGAAAGGAATGAATGAAGAAGCATCAAAGGTATTAGCAAAGATAACGGATGATGATAGTGACAATGATTCTGAAAAAGAGATATCAAATGATTCAGATGATTATGAATATAATGAATATAATGAAAATAATGGATATGATGATGATTATAATTATTATGATAGAAAATGTGAAAGAAATCTTACCAATGATGAGACTTATCATATCTCTGCTATCCTGGATACCTCCTTTAGTCAAGACCTTCAGGAGATAGCGTAGGTTATTTTTTTTTAAATAAATATGAGAAAAAAGGATCAGCAAATTAATAGACATTAGAGTTACCATATTTATTTTATGTTTTGTGATGATCATAGTATAAAAACTCTGTTATATGAGATTGATCACCTGAAATGCATAGTATGATATTAGAAAAATGCTATACAGCTTGGTTAAAACTATCAGATTAGAGACTTTTTATGATCAAGAAGATAGAATTGTGCGATATGAAATTTAGCACTTTTTTTTGTCATTAGGACTAATACCTAGTTTTCATTCTAAGGATCTTATTACTAATTACGAATGCAAACAAATGAAATAGATTATTAGGTTTAAGATATTAGTACAAAGAACATAACAAGTAAAGGGAAGTGGATAGAATAGACATAATAAGACTTTATTATGTATTATGTATCATTATATCAAGCTAATCTGTATTATAATCTAAGATCCAAAATGTACTTTTTATTTACAATCAATAAAGCAAAAGTGTATTAAGCATAATATATTTACTTGATAATATTTTACATAGTATGGTTGTGAGGATTGAAGGATTGTATTTGCATCTCAATAAATGCATAATATAATATTTGGAAAAATTATTGCTGAAATGATTGCTGTATGACGTAAAAAAAAATTAATCATAACATCTTATAGATGCATAATATTCTCGAACTTTCCCGCAAATACTCATATAATAATAATAAAAAAAGACCCCTTTGTTGATCCAAGAGGCATAATCCCATATGGTTAGCGATCAAGAATTTTATTTTGTCTTTGAGCGAATCCACTGATCTGATTTTTCGTAATGCTATCATAATTCCCTGAAGATTTATTTCAAATTTGATTCTTGGACTGCTACAAATCATATAAAAAGAAGGCAAGACAGTTAGTGAATCCTTTTATCTGCCTTGCGCAGATATAAGCAAAAATCAAGTAAAACTAATAAAATCTAATAAAACTTACCATAATTTATATCATTAATATTAACAATCAATCGAACTCTTATATTCTGCAAAGCAATAATAAGGTATGTTGATTTATTGCTTAGCTAGCTTCTTGAAACATATCATCATGATTTAATCAATTTCTGCTTCTATAGATATTTCAAAATAAAATGGATACATTACTTTTTTTTAGTATTAGCTAGAGCTCTGAATCAGGTCAGGTCAATCTGTGACCTGACCCGACCTGACCTGAAAAATCCAGGTCGGGTAGACAAAT